TCCACCCTTGGACAGTGGGGAGGCGGGAAGAGAGATTAAGACCTTCCCCAGTTGGTGCCCCATCCCTGAACCCTGGGAACAGCATCCCGACAGGGTAAATGCTATCACATTCCACCCTGAGCCGGCCGGCCAGCGTTCGAGCTTGCAAAATCCAGCTTTTTTAAAACAAAGCAGCTGCCTGTACAAATCGCTTACATTGGAGAGATGGGGGAGAGACAAGCTGCAGTGTTCAGGAAATAAAGCAAGAAACCTGAGCAAGGAAACTAAAGTAAAGGTAATGTGCTTATTATATTTTCTATGTAACATCTATTAGCTCCTACTGTTTGTTTACACTCCTTTTCTTTACTCTAGAAGGTAGAGTTGTTTTAACCAGTTTAGCAACGTTTTATCGTTTAAAATAAAGCTAATCTGATAATTATTGCCATGGTATAATCTATTTGTTAGTCTCTTAGGGGCCACAGAACTGCTGTTGTTTTTTTAAATTACAGACTAACAGGGCTACCCCTCTGAAAACTGTTATAATAGTTATTGTTAATTGTTTCAGGACATTTTGCTTCTGTGACCATCCCTCAGTATTGAAGAGGTACGGTCTCTACTTTTAGCAAATTAGTTATCATTTGTCCCATCCTGTCCTTCCAAATTGATGAGGATTTCTGTAAAGACTGATTTACTATGAAAGATGAAAAGACAGAAATGTGTATGACTACAGGCCCTGAACCTGCAAAGGCATTACCCCCATGCAGAATTTTTAGGAGTCCAGTTGATTTGAAAGGACTGCTCACAGAACTAAAGTTAAGTTCAGGTGTAATTGGTGCAGAATTGGAACTAGAGGGAGCAGCACAAAGACCAGCATCTATACATTTTTGGTGGATGTGGGCATCAAAAAGAGACTGGTATTGGGTGGGGAGAACTTCTCATGAGTTAAACAGAAAAATGCAAGATGAAAAACAGGAACAAAATCCAAATAGCGAGGTTTGAGAGAAGTGTTCTAGTCCCATGGGAAGTGCTAGAAGCTTGGAGTTGGAAGGAAAGTACATTGTCGTGAACAATCCTGTATTGGCCCAAAGGGGGTGGATTAGAGATGAGCTGCCTTTTTCAGCTTTAATGTCTACATTTCCATGGGATCTCTTTTGAGGAGTTTGGGGTTTTATTGTGGTTTTGAGAGCTGTGTTCCTCTCTGTCTTCCTCAGCCGTCCTAGTAGCTTGCAAACTTCAGGGGGAGCATCATGCTGGGCAGCCAGTAGGCACCCTTAAACTTTATTGTGACAGTGCCATAGAATTGGTGCCCACCACGCAATGAGTTTCAGGTGGAGCTTCTGAATTGGGGTGGGGAGAGAGGTGTATGGGACTTGTCTCAAGACCTTGGCTTTATTGGGGGATTTACACCCTCAATATTTAGTGCAGAATTGAAATCTAGCTATAGAAAATATTACCCTACACAGCCTTATGGAATCATATTCAATAGTGTAGTATATTAACAATCTCTCTCAGCGCTGTCCGTCAACAAAGTGCTTTACAACCAGCCAAATGCCTAGCCCCAAAGAATCTATGAGTATTATTGGCATATAAATGCACATCTAATTATTTACTATAATTGTAAAACACATTCGTGTCAGGAATGATAGAAGCCCGCTGCCCCTATGTTGGACAACAGTGGCCTTTTATCCATCAAGCCAGGCATTTTTATAATGCATTTGGCATATTCATCTTCCCCAGTTACAGACCTACACAGATGCCTCAGAGTGCTAGATTCTTTCGTAAACAAACAAAACAAAATTAAAGTGCTTTCAGTTGACGGACTTCTTCGTGCCACCTTAAAGGACAGCTCCACCTTAACCCAGCCTGCATGGGGCTTGTCTGTCTGTCTTGCTCTCTTGTGCATCTCTTTTATTCCACAAAGAAATTTCTGGGTTTTTGCTGTGCAGGAACAGAAATCAGGACAGTGGGTGGAAGGGGAGGGCTGCAGGGAGCTGCAGTTATCTGTTCTGTGTTAATCTTCCCACTGAGGAAGGGAGGGGGGTTTCCTAAGTGCGTTGGTGGGAGGGTGTTTATTAAACATTGGAAAGTAAAGAGAGGGAGAGAGAGGATTAAAGGGAGAGAAGAAGAGAAGGAGTTAGCGCCTGGTTTTATTGGGGTCATCCATCTGCTCTGCCCTTTGGCTGTAATAGAGTGAGCCATTTCACTTGCTTTTCTCTCTCTGCTCCTCCCCTCTTCCTTCCTGTGGTCTGTGTGTCAAGGTCCCTGTGCATCCGTAATTATCCGGGTAATTATCCAGCAACGCTGCAAGCCTGCCCACTCCACCCCATAGCGTTCCAGTCCCTGTCCAACCTGCCGGGGCAATGGAACTCAAGAATGTGGTAGAGACTGTGGAAAACGGAGAACAAGATGCTATCCTCAAGGTGCTGCAGATCTACAACCAGGAGGTGAGTGTTGGGTTTGTGCTAGGCCTGTGCCAGTGCTCAGCTTCCATGTTTACGTGTCTGGCAGCAGGTTGGCTGGGGAAGCCATGCTGTGGGATTTCTTGCCAGCCAGCTGTCCCTGTCTGTCTCCTCTACCTACATCTGCCTGTGTGTCACTTCAATAAAAGTGCCATTAACCTGCTTAGCAGCTACATTTTGTATTTGTAGCATCAGTGATTCCTGCATGTATGTTTTGACAGTGACTGATCCTGAGCATTTAGTAAACATCTCCCCATCCTGCTTCCCTTGTGTATTGGAAGTGAAGCACTCAGCTCAGATTTTTAGCATCAAGGGTACAAGGGAAACATGTCAGAGAAATGAATGAAGACGCAGGGACTAAAGAGATAGCAAGGAAGAGACCTTTATGGTAAAGGAAGATTAGGAGGTAACATCTGAGGCCTAGGGAGCAAGCTATGGATGTAGTAGAATTATTATGGTTCACAACTACAAATAATGAAGGGAGCATGTTAACGGTAGGGATTTGCCACATATGCTTCATCTGAAAGTTGATGGCAAAAGGAATAAAAAATAGGGTGTGAAAAGAAGAAAACTGGTAGGACTGAGTAATTGCTGCTATTAGCTTGGGAATGTTTCAAAACATTGCACAAAGGGGTTGCCCCTTTAGAATAGACACACATGACATTTTCAGCTCAGGAGCTAATAAGCCAGTGCAGGTGAAATTCACTTCAAAAGAGCTACCTTAGGGATGAATTTGGCCCAGCAGAGCAAAATGACTCATTCTGCATCACGCTGAAGTAGGTGGAAAGCGAGCAGAGAAAGCTGCAAATATTGTTGCACAAGTGTCTTTTTCCAGGAAAAAAATGTGCGTGTTACATCTGTTCCGGCTGGGCAATTTTAATCCAGTGAAAGTCTCAATGAAGAGACAGCAAAACCCCATAAAAGTGACATACAGCAGAAATAATACAGTTCGTGGCAGATGAAATAAAAGAGAAATTAAGACGCTCAAAGGAAACATGAAGAGCAAATTGCTAAACATAGCAGAACAAATACCAAGCCTTTTTTTTAGAGTCTGTTGGACACAGGAAGCCTGGGAGAGAGTTGGCAAGTCAGCTAGACCCCCAGGGAGCAAAAGGAACATTTGAGGAGGATAAGACATTACAGAGAAGTGGAGGCAATGTCTTTGTGTCAGTCTTAAGAGGAAGGGAGATTCCTGCCCCAGACATATTCTTTTTAACATGTGGGCATGAAAGGGAGTTAACATTAGGGTGAGTGAAGAATTCATGTTGAACAATTCAATTGTATTTATAAAGGATGTTGTGAACAATGGAGGAGGCCAGATTTGCAGATGACAGAAATGTATGTAGTCACTCAAGGCTGCAAAAGCATGTCAGAAATTCCCGAGGGACCCCACAACAGGCCAGATCCCCCCTGGCAAGCCTATAACTGACTTTGGAGGATATTGAATCAGATGCCAGTAGGCAATCGAGAAACATGGAGGTAATAGAAAGTCACTGTGGATCAGTGGAAGAAGATATATATTGGAAGGAACAATTTGAACTATTTTTACATGTTGATAGGTTCTAAATTACATATAATCACCCTGGAAAAATCGTAGGCCCCATTTGTAGGTCAGCTTAAGGTACACAATTCCAGCTACTAGACCCGATAAATTGAACCCTGGAAGATAGATCGCCAGAGTGTTGATCTCCCAGTAAGTGGAGACATGGTGTTAGATTTGGCCCTGTATTATTGAGAGACTATGTGAATGATACCAAAGACCAGATGAAAACATTTTCTAAACAATGCACCCGAAAACTCTGCAGTGTATGGTAAAGTTGACATGAGATCCTTGTTGATCGTTGATATGTCATTTAAAACGATTTCCATTACAAAGTGACTCAGAGTAGTAATGCACAGCTACAAGAACCTATAGAGAGGGGGAATGTTTTCATATGCTAACCATTTGTGTCTAAAGAACATGTGGTAAATAATTGACACGCTCAGATACTATTGTAACGAGAACCACATAATATCTAGATAGACTAGAGAGTGCATGGGTGAAACAGTGCAGTAGTGAGCACTACGTATCAATAAAAAAGAATGGATGAGCAATACGTGCATGATTTGGGGCATAACTGGGTACTGATATAGATGGACACACAGTATACCTGGATCACACACTAACTTCTCTACTACTGTATTGTAGTCTTTTAAAATAAGTCAGTTGGTCAGACAGGGAGTTAGATGTGTGTTATACACAGTACTAGGCTAAAATAACTAACCAATTATTTGAAAATCAAAACTATAGAGCAGTGTTTCTCATAGTGGGCCGTGAGCCTGATTTGGGAAAGCTGCTAGCGGGCCCGTGCCACTTATTTTACCTAAAGGGTCCATGGCCACTGAGCATTGTGGCTCCTCTTGGCTGGAAATGGCAAACCGGAGTCAGTGGGAGCCGTGAGGCTCAGTAGCTATGGACCTTTTAGGTAAACAAAGCAGTGCCCGCTAGTAGCTTTTTATTATTCCTTATTAACATGCAGCACTGTATTTTTACATAGTCCTTTGCAGGCAATTAGAAGATGTAAAGTCAGATTCTCAGCTCCTGTTTCATCCTCTCTGTAGATCCCCAGGTGGGCAAAGGGAAGACTGTTGCTCTGACAGGGTAGCTGAGGATTCCCTTTGCATAGGGGAATCCTTGGGTGGCATGAAGTCTGCATAGGCAACTCTACTGCATCACATGTTCTTGATAACACCTTCCAGGGGCAGTGGGTATGCCAGCAGAGAGGAAGCTTTGCAGTTTTGGAATGACTAGCCTGGCCTTAGAGCAACTCTCAATCTGTTCTAATTTGCGCCAGGGACCAAAACAGTCGCCTTCTGCCTTCAAGAGTAGGGGTAGAGGTAGAAAGCCACCACTGTCATACCCACCCAACCCCCCATTTCGTAACACCTTGGGATCTGGCCCAGTGCCCCAGCTTCAAAAAGTTAGAACTCGGTTTCCTTGGAATCTTTATCAAAAAGTGAGTTGAGAAGAAGGGAATGTCTTGAGAGAGTTTTGAGTAGCGTAGAGGGCTTGACTGGAGCTACAGAGATGGGAAAGCATCAAAGCAACAGTACCTGTAATTTTGACTAGGTGTATAAATGAAGTTAACCTGCTTGTGAGGGAATGTAGGGACAGCATTTGAAAAAAGCCAGATGTGGAAGAGAGTGTAACATCAGGTTAATTGATAAGGTCGAAGCAATAGAGGAGCAAGAGATGACGTGAGTATGATAGGAGGCTCCAGATGGGGAATAAAATACATACATTCTGTCTGTTTGCCTGCCACTCAGTTAAAAAAAAAAAGCACAGAATCATCAGGAGTAAGAAGGAAGAGGAACTTTTGAGATATAAAATTGTAGGGTCAGGAGAAGAATGGAAAGGTCGTAGAATGAAATTAGCTGCTTCCATGCTGCCTATTGTATGTGGTTTAAATGCACCACCACATGCTGTAGCAGGTGTGTTGTGAATGGAATTCTGATGATCCATTGCCATCTTAGCCTTTATAATAATACTGCTGCCTTCAGCTGCCTTACAGAAAAAAACACAAGACTTCGACAATAAAGAGGTCTATTGTGTGTTAAAATTGCCATGCAACCAGAAACCGAGACCCTCTTGGACACACTGGCAAATTTCTAAACTTGCTTATTGAAAACCTGAACCACCTGACAGGCCAGGAAAGAGAACTAGCACTAGTGCTAAGTAGGGATGTTAAATTTAGTTTAATCAACTAATCAAGTAGTCAGTGGAATTTCCATCAACTAGACCAGGGGTCTCCAAACTTTTCAGCCCGAGGGCCGCATTAACTATCAAACAGCAGTTCGGGGGCCGACTACACACTTGAGGTCCAAATAAAAAACAATCAAAACATGGATGTTGTTTTTAATTATTTATTTAATATTATTTTATTCAGTTATTATTTAATAACACATTCATACACTACACATGAACACCTGTATTAGTGTGAATGGTGAAATTGTTTCCTGGATGCCAAAATAGCAGACATTTCTGGCTTTAGATTTGTTGTCCCTAACATCAACAGTGACCTGAGATTATCATCGGACAAGTTTGTTCTCAAATTGTTCTTCACGTATTTCATTCTTGAAAATGTTTGTTCACACAGGTATGTTGTTCCAAAGATTGAAAGGTACCTTGATGCAAAAGTTTTGACATTAGGAAAGTCTTCCTTGGGCAAAAACTGGTAAAAACCCACCAGTCCTATTTTGAACTTGTCCCTAAGGAGGTCATTTGCTTGCAACTCAATGACTTCCAGCTGCAGTTCATCTGGGCAACTGGCCACATCTGCTTCAAATGGGTTTTGAAACAATCTCACTTCTTCTGCCTTTGAATCCAAAAAGGTCTCCACGGGCCGGATGAGAGGCCCTCGCGGGCCGCATCCGGCCCCCGGGCCGCAGTTTGGAGACCCCTGTCTTAGGGTATAGATTATTGTTCAAACATAAAGACTAAAATGAAACAATTGAATTGAAAATGTGGACTGCTGCCCCACACGCTTTTCCTTTGCCTCCCTTCATTTCCAACATGTCTTCTCAAAACCCCGGGGAGTTTCTTCCCCGTCACAGTCTCCACGGGCCGGATGAGAGGGCCTCGCGGGCCGCATCCGGCCCGCGGGCCGTAGTTTGGAGACCCCTGAACTAGACGATTAGTTGATAAGCAGGGGAACTCTGCCCCCCACTCTTAATGCATTTAAAAAGCAGAAGTGCAGCAGAGGGGACCCGGCACAAGCCGGGAATCAGTTGTCCCAGATCACATGGGCTGTGTCTAGACTGGCAAGTTTGCGGAAAAGTCTGCTTTTGCAGAAAAACTTGCCAGCTGTCTACACTGGCTGCTTAAATTTCCGCAAAAGCACTGATGATGTCATGTAAGATTGTCAGTGCTTTTGCAGAAATACTGTGCTGCTCCCGTTCGGGCAAAAGTCTTTTTCCGAAAAACTTTTGCGCAAAAGGGCCAGTGCAGACAGCAGAGATTTGTTTTCTGCAAAAAAGCCCCGATCGCGAAAATGGCAATTGGGGCTTTTTTGCGGAAAAGCGCATCTAGATTGGCCACGGAGGCTTTTCCGCAAAAAGTGCATTTGCGGAAAAGCATCCTGCCAATCTAGACGCGCTTTTCCGAAAATGCTTTTAACTGAAAACTTTTCCGTTAAAAGCATTTCCGGAAAATCATGCCAGTGTAGACATAGCCATGGAGTCTCCCTTGATGCGCACCAACTTTTTAAATGTATTAAGAGCTAACCCTGCTGCGGGATCCCACACCAGGAACCACCCTGGGTCACTATGGTTGTTAGACAACCTAGGATGGAAGATGCAAGAAAAAACCTCAGGCATGAGTGGTGGAAAATGTGTTCTTGTACATCCAGAAAACAGAAGGAGGGCAGATGACATGGAGCAGAAGAATGAGTGGAGAATAGTTTGAGTATGTAAGTGGTCATATAAAATGTAATGCAAACTCCAGGATATAGGGGCCTGATGCAAAGTGCCTTACATTCAATGGGAGTCTTTTCATTTACTTCATCAGCTCTTGGATTGGACCCTAATTGCAACCATGTATAAAGGGCTTGTAATGCTATATCCAGTTGATGTGACCCACCCCCCACTTCCATTGTTTTAAATTTGAGTGGAAACATGTGGAGTGCCTGTGGGTTGGCTCCTTGAGCCTATGTAACCCTGGGTAACGTTTTATGACACAGAACTGTCTCCTATGTATATAAGAACAAGGAACCATCATACAGGCTAAGACCAGCGTTTCCCAAACTATGGGCCGCAGCCCATTCTGGGCCGCAGGAAAAAAATACCGGGCCTCAGCGTGGCTGCCAGGAGGGGAGTGGGTGGGGCGGGCTGGGAGGAGGTGTGTGTGTGGGGAAACTGGCCATCGGGAAGCAGAGTTGGGGGCAGCGGTGCTGTCTGGCAGAGATCAGGGGGAAGGCAGCTGGTGGAAGGGGGGGTGGGGGCAGTG